TCCAGGACGCAGCATATTGGCCGTCTCTGTCTTCTGGATTCATTTTTCTGATAGCATAACGCACGCATGAAATGCTTTCTGGTGAATCTAAGATGCCGGGGAATCCATTTCTACAACTGCATTAACTTTGACAACAAATAAAGGTGGATAAATGTTTCCATGATGGATTACCGACCTCTGGCGAAGCTTCAAGTCCTTTTGAATTGATTTTAAAATAAAATGAAATTAATGAAAACAAATGCCTGTCCAGGGAGGTACGACATTCATCTCAAAACTGATCGCAGCGTTTGAGAAACACTCTGGGAAATATGTGTTTTTTTCTTTTTTAACCCTTTATCAGGCAAGAACCATATATGTAACCTCAGCGTCATGTGACTTCATCAAGCCAATCAGCGAAGGTCAGGCTACATCACAACACAGCCACTGACCAATCACAAGTGAGCCCATTTTAACACAAGTGTCATAAATTCGGTCAGTCTGACCGGTGATTTTTTATCTTTACATGTATAGTTTCTACAGTGATTCATTCACATATTATTTAGATTTTTTTATCCAACGTAGGCAAGTAATCGGATTACCCAAAGTCCAACTCTCAGCCTAACTGCTTTGACTTTGATTTGCAGCTTAAATCTAAAACATTTTTAAGAAGTCAAAAAAGAAAAAATGTCCTCTTATATCCACCAATAACATTCAGATGTTGAAATTTTACATTTCCAAGTATTTCAATGAGTGCCCCATAAAGTAGATTAGGGTTAGGGTTAGAAGAGTTAGGTTAGGTGGAGGAGGGTTAGGTTTATTAGAATATCAGACGTGAACCACTGCTATGCTACAGATAAGACTGTCCTTGTGATGCGTATATTTAAAATCCTGAATCAGGCCAAACGATGAGATAAAAACCTTTTCACTCACCTCGCTCTCAGTGTTTCTCTGATTATCTGAAACAAAAACTCATCTGTGTGAGTTTTCTTTACAGCAGAGTTTTGTCTCCAGTAAAATAAAAAGCTGGATGCAGGTTGTTCTTAAAGGCACCAGAGAAGAAAGTAAGAATCAATGAACACCACTGAGGTACCTTGAGAGAGATAAAAACCATATTAACAGTAAAACTGAGCCACGCTGAAGTTCATCTGTGGAGCAAGAAAGAAGAAAAGGTTGAAAGGAAGGAGAAAACAGAACAAAACGAAGCCTGTGGTGGGCATCGTGCCAAACAATCCGCTTGGCGCCACATGACCGTCTCGAATCGCGCATCACCCCGAGGCGACGGCCGGCGTGTTGGTGCTGGGAGGCGTGTGTCACCCAAACACCCCCATGTTCTGTATGAAAGCCTGCTAATGGGGGAGGAGGGTCGGGTCCGGGGGTGTCGGGGTGCCAGCACCGGGGCTCCAGGGGCCACTTGTGTTTACACGACCCTCCGACCAAAACCAATTCACCAAAGTGCCTCGAACAAACAAACAAATAAAAGGAGGGAAACAATACGGTGAAGTGAAGACAGGATGAGGCAGCTGCCAGAAGCATGCCGATAATAAACATCTCATTGTGTTTTAATGCAAAAAAGTTCTGCCTGCTAAGCATGTGAAGCTCAGATTAACGATAAAATCAAAAGACTAAAAAGTCGAACCAGTTCAAACTTAGTCTGTGTTGATATCAGCTGCCAAAAAGTTTTGCACCGATAATAAACATGTAATTGCATTTTAATGGCAAAAAATAATCCACTGAAGTATTCAGAGTTCTGCTCAGAATTACATTAAGTCTATTAAAAACGTGAGTAAGGGATAAAAGCTGAACCACTGTCTTAATTATAAACTGTATCATCACTGATGTAAGTCATCCTTCTCATAAAAGAAGATTCAAAAACAATAAATATTTCCAAAATAAATCAATTTCAGATTGAAAACATTGATACGATAGATTTCAGTCTTTATCGTCCCTATTAGTCACCATGTCTTCATTTTCATAAAGAAAAGTCTATTTAAATATTTATAAAGAAATCATGGCAAAACTTTGCTAGCAGTTTGCAAAACTCAACAAATTTCTACCAGAACAGAAATCTTAACCAATGTTTTTTCCAAGCTGCAGCAGAACATTTCTGTATCTGTGACACTCGTGTGTCCAGACTACAGTAAATACATCCACCACATGTTCTCTGTGCAAGTGAGGATAAACTCAGATTTCAGGAGTCGAGGCGTCTGTTTAGAAATGCTGCAGACTCCCTGCAGTGGCTTTGGATGAATTCTCTCTTGTAGAAGCATCCAGGATGTGTGTAACTGCAGGAATCTGACCTGCTTTGTGCACAATCTGGGTTTTTTATGGACTGTCCAGTACATTTAATTCACTCGAGCATTTATTCCAACATACAGACTGTAAGTCTGCATTAAAAATGCACCCTTGTGTGTGCTGCGAGATCAATGAAATTACCTTTCATCCCTTCAAACTGACTGGAAACGGTCTGATTTTTAATGGAAAGTTGTTATCGGCAAACTGCAAGAACAGACGAAAGAGGAAAACTAAAGAGGAGGAAAATAAAGCGACAAACAGAGAAAGGAGGTGTAGGACAGTCAGGGAACAACAGCTACTGTTTGCTTGTTTAATCTAAATCGAGATGTACTGGAAATGTGTTTTGCACTTATTCTTTGGCACTGTAAAGATGCTATCATGCCAATGAAAGTCCTTGAAATTGAATTGAGACAGAGACAGAAAACAGAAGTGGAGGGCGGCGGGCTGAAGGAAGGACCAAAACAAAACCAAACAAAAAAAAAACTGGGTGAGACAAGTCGATAGCTAGTCACTGAATTCTGTCTTGAACCTTAAAAACATGTCGAAATATGCAAATGCCTCCATTAGTTCAGAAAAATTCACGGTGTGGGTGATGATATCTCTAAATGAGATAATGCTGCTTCCAGATAACATCTCCTGATTTGTGGGAAAATCCATGAAAAAAAAAGTTTCACTGCAATCAATGATCTCACGCTGCTGGCGGATAGTTTCTTCTGCTTTGAGATTAAAAAAAAAAGACTTTTAGGAGGAGATAAAAGTTTGAATCAGATGTAAAGATAAACCAAAGGGGACGTTACGGATTCCCACGTTGGCGGTGGAGTAATCCAGGGACCGCAGTGACTGACAGGCATCATCCCGCCCAGCGCTTCGACACGCTGCACGCGCTCCTCCGTCGACGCCTGTCAATCAATGTCGCCTTTGTCGGCGGCGGCCAATCCCACGTTGCTGCTACGCCGGGACCGCTTGACTGACGGGGCCGGGAACAGAGGAGCCAAAGGTGGAGGGAAGTGAATGGAAGACGGTGGCGGTGTGCGCGTGGAAGGACGTGAAGCGAGGCCTCAAACAAGCACGCCAAGGGCAAGAATCATTAATATGCAGGAGCTGGCGAGCATGCATGTGCACATACAGTGGAGTGTGTGTGTGTGTGTGTGTGTGTGTGTGTGTGTGTGTGTGTGTGTGTG